CTGCTGACCTGTTGATTAGCAGCCAAGTTCTTAATCACTGTGCCACCAAGGCCACCAATCTATGACTGGTGTCCTTACAAAAGAGAAGAGACACGGAGGGAAAACAGCCATGTGACAATGGAATTACGCTGCAGCCATAAGTCAAGGAGGAAACCCTGGTGGCAGAGTGGTTAAGAGCTTGGCTGCTAACCAAAAGGTTGGCAGCTCAAATCCACCAGCTGCTCCTTGGAAACCCTATGGGGCAGTTCTGCTCTACGAGTTGGAATCAACTCAATGACAACAGGTTTTTTGTTTGTTTGTTTTTGTTTTTTTATTTATAAATCAAGGAACACCTAGGACTACCAGAAGCTGGGAGAGACAAGAAAGGATCTTCCTCTAAGAGCCTTCAGAGAGAACGTGGCCCAGCCAACACCCTGAATTCAGACTACTAGCCCCCACAACTGTGAACCAATAAATCTCTATTATTTAAAGCCACCTACTTTGTGGTACTTCATTACAACCACCCGAGGAAACTAAGACACTTGGCAGAACCAGGTACGAAGCCCCAGCTTTCCTCGACGCTCTACACTGCTTCATTCACCTCCAACCTCTGGAAGGCCTATTCTGCGCCATCCCTCATGCAGGGCAGTAGGGAGGCCAGAGCTGGTCTCTGTCATCAAGAAGCTCATAGTCTCTCCCATAGGGGAGACAGAAAATGCCTTCAGCATGAGGGGGCTGTGACAGATGGAATTCAGAAGCTGTGAGAGCCCAGAGGATGAACACCTGATGCAGTGTGGGGTTGTGGAATGAAAGGAAGGGAAGGAGAGAGAGGGAGGACGGAAGGGGAAGAGGGAAGAGAGAGGGAAAGGGCATGGGAAGGGAAGAAGAGAAGATGTGAGAGAAATGGAGGGAGAGACAGGGCAGAGGAGAGAGAAAAGGAGGCGGGGCAAATGGACGGGGAGAGAAGAAAGGGAGAAGTAAGGAAAGAGGGGGAGCAAAGGGGAGGGAAGAAGGAAGGGATGGGTGAGAACAAAGGGAGGAGGAAGGGAAGAAGGAAGAAAGGAAAAAGGGAAAGATGGAGGAAGAAAAGAAGGGAAGAATGGGAGAAAGAAAAGAAAGGATCCTTCCACTACTGCAAAGCATAAGTAAAGACCCGTGTTGCATGTAATATTTTTTAGCCTGTGTAAGTCAATATCCTCAAAATAACATTTCATGCCCACCTTTTGTTTGTTGTTTTTTTGTCTTATATGGCACTAGAGTCACTGACCTCTTGATCTATGTACAAGTTCCTCATGAAGGGGATACTTGGTGGTTTAAAGTAAGGAAAGGTGTGCATCAGGATTGTATCCTTTCAACATATTTATTCAATTGTATGCTGAGCAAATAATCCGAGAAGCTGGACTCTATGAAGAAGAACACAGCATCAGGATTGGAGGAGGACTCATTAATGACCTGCGTTATGCAGATGACACAACCTTGCTTTCTGAAAGTGAAGAGGACTTGAAGCACTTACTGATGAAGGTCAAAGACCACAGCCTTCAGTATGGATTATACCTCAACATAAAGAAAACAAAAATCCTCACAACTGGACCAATAAGCAACATCATGATAAATGGAGAAAAGATTGAAGTAGGATTTCGTTTTACTTGGATCCACAATCAACACTCATGGAAGCAGCAGTTAAGAAATCAAACGATGCATTGCACTGGGCAAATTGCTGCAAAAGACCTCTTTGAAGTGTTAAAAAGCAAAGATGTTACCTTGAGGACTAAGGTGTGCCTGACCCAAGCCATGGTGTTTTCAGTCGTCTCATATACATGTGAAAGCTGGACAACAATATAAGGAAGACCGAAAGAGAATTGACACCTTTGAATTATGGTGTTGGCAAAGAATATTGAATATACCATGGACTGCCAAAAGAAGGAACAAATCTGTCTTGGAAGAAATACAGCCAGAATGCTCCTTAGAAGCAAGAATGGTGAGACTGTGTCTCACATAATTTGGACTTGTTATCAGGAGGGATCAGTCCCTGGAGAAGGATATCATGCTTGGTAAAGTAGAGGGGCAACGCAAAAAGGGAAGACATTCAACGAGATGGACTGACACAATGGCTCCAACAGCCAGCTCAAGCGTGACAACAAATGTGAGGATGGCGCAGGACCAGGCAGTGTTTTCTTCTGTTGCACATAGGGTCGCTATAAGTTGGACCTGACTCGACAGCACCTAACAACAGATTCACTGCCATTCATAGGGAGTCACAAAACCATACTAAAAAAAAACGAAAACAAAAAAACCCTGATTCCATCGAGTCGATTCCAACTCATAGCAGCCCTGTACTGTAAATCTTCCTAAAACAACTGTGTTCAGAACTGGAATCTGGACCACCTTGGAGTTGGTTCCAATTGTTCCAGAGGCAAGATGACCTAGACACAGTCCCTGAGCCACCGTTAGGACTATTGTTCGTTGCTGTAGAGTCAATTCTGACTCATGGCCACCCCATGTGTGCAGAGTAGAACTGCTCTACAGGGTTTTCAAGGCCGTGACCTTTTGGAGGCAGATAGCCAAACCTGTCTTCGAAAGTGCCTCTGGGTGGATTCGAATTGCCAACCTTTTGGCTAGTAGTTGAACGTAATTGTTTGTGCACCACCTAGGGACGCTTCCATTAGAACTACAGGTACATAAACCTGTTCACAACTTTCCCTGGCTTAAAGCCTTGCCATGACACCACTGACCCCATGATGAAAGCAGCACTCAGCATCCTGACATTCAAGGCTTGCTAAGATCTGACCCAAGCTGGCCCCAGCTGGCCCCTTTTATCCCCACTTTTGTCCCCACTCTGTGCTCCAGTCATTCTGTCAAAGGCTTTCAGTTCCCATCACAATATTTCATGCCTCCATGTCTTTTCATATGCTGTTCCCTGCTCCTGGAATGCCTTTCCCACCCTCCCACCTGCCCTTTTGTTTTCTCAAGCCCCTCTCCATTGCCTACCAGTGAAGCCTTTCCCACCATCCCCTTTGTGGTGACCACACACCTCAGTGAACCCTTGTTGTTCTTGTTGACGTATCTGTCCCCTCCATCACCTTGGGGGAGCTCTGTGACACTGGGGCATGTTAAATCTCTTAGTCCAAAGCCACCACAGGGTCTGGCTAGAGTCTCATTCAGATTACAAGGCTCCTATCCAGATGTTCATACACGCAGCAGAAATTGAGAAGGACCCAGAGAGCTGTCATGGTGGCCCACTGGAGGGAGCAGTCATTCCTGCAGGCGCTTGGAGAAGGAGGCATCTGGGCCAGACCCTTGAAGGGGCGGTGGAAAGAAGAACCAATGTGTGTGGACACCTCCCACATCTTCACACCCCCACATCCTCCCACACCCCACTCTGCTAGCTGTCATCAAATCCTATCAAGCTGACACTAGGGTTCAGGAGGATGAAGTAACTTGCCCAAGGTCATGCAAGGAAAGTGAAGATGTAAATTCACTCTAAAATTTAAATTCAGGTCTAGCAAGCAGACTCGAGGGCAGATGTGTAATGTGATTGGTGTGAAATGCACTTGGCCCCTACCTGAAGGTTTCCCAGACAGTTGCTTTCTTCCAAACTGGACTTCCCACTGCCTCCTCCCTTTGACCTGCTTCAGGTCTGTCTCCCTTGCAAGAGTGAAGGAGGAGGGGAGGGTTCCTATCTTGACAATCTTTCAATCAATGTGTTTGAGTACCCAGCAAGTGCTGACACCCCTACTGCCCCAGCATGCATTCACTCATTCATTACTTCATTCATCCCACCTGCATTCTATTAGCACCTTCTCTTTGCCAGACCCTGTGGTGGCTTTGGACTAAGAGATTTAACATGCCCCAGTGTCACAGAGCTCCCCCAAGGTGATGGAGGGGACAGATATGTCAACAAGAACAACAAGGGTTCACTGAGGTGTGTGGTCACCACAAAGGGGATGGTGGGAAAGGCTTCACTGGTAGGCAATGGAGAGGGGCTTGAGAAAACAAAAGGGCAGGTGGGAGGGTGGGAAAGGCATTCCAGGAGCAGGGAACAGCATATGAAAAGACATGGAGGCATGAAATATTGTGATGGGAACTGAAAGCCTTTGACAGAATGACTGGAGCACAGAGTGGGGACAAAAGTGGGGATAAAAGGGGCCAGCTGGGGCCAGCTTGGGTCAGATCTTAGCAAGCCTTGAATGTCAGGATGCTGAGTGCTGCTTTCATCATGGGGTCAGTGGTGTCATGGCAAGGCTTTAAGCCAGGGAAAGTTGTGAACAGGTTTATGTACCTGTAGTTCTAATGGAAGCGTCCCTAGGTGGTGCACAAACAATTACGTTCAACTACTAGCCAAAAGGTTGGCAATTCGAATCCACCCAGAGGCACTTTCGAAGACAGGTTTGGCTATCTGCCTCCAAAAGGTCACGGCCTTGAAAACCCTGTAGAGCAGTTCTACTCTGCACACATGGGGTGGCCATGAGTCAGAATTGACTATACAGCAACTAACAATAGTCCTAACGGTGGAATGTAATGCAGACAGGAGACTACTGCAATGACCCACAGAGGCGTGGTAGGTGGCGGAAGTAGAGGGGGCACTTGCCCCCAGGCCCAAGTCCAAGGGGGCGCCACAGGAGAAACAGAATGACATCCCAAGGAGCCACAAATATGAAAGGCGCCTGACAGAGGCAGCCAGAGTAGAGAGAGGAACGAGTTTCTGCTGACGTGTAGCCGCCATCAACGTCTGTTCCTTTTGAAATTGCAGGGAAGGGGTGCAATTTAGAGATTGCCCCTGCGCGCTCCTTACTCTCCCTAAGGCTCTGATGATCCAGGCAGTGTCTTGCACCGAGTAAAAGAGCTTAATAAAGAAAGAGAAAAAGAGAAGAAAGGTCAGGAGGGAAAACCAGAAAAGAAAGTCCGAAGGCAGACAAAGCTGCAGCAAAGAAGTCAAAGGAGGAAAGGGTATTGAGCTACTGCATGGTTGCAGCTAGCAGGTGAGCGGGCAGGCAGGCTGGGTGCGCTCGCCTGGGACTCACCGCGGAGCCAGCGCGCCCCAGCTTGCGCGTCCTTGAGGCGGATGAGGCGGCGTTGCGCGGCGCTGCGGCCCACGTACCAGAGCATCCAGAGCAGCTGCAGCAGCATGAGCGCCGTGAGCACGCAAAGCAGGGCGCGTTTGCCCACGCCCTTGGCGTGCACAGCCCAGGCCAGCAGCAGTAGCAGCCCTGCCACGAACACGTTCAGCCCGTACTGGCTGCTCAGCGCCTCGGCCAACTTCTGCGGGACGCTGGCGCGGGAGGCACACCGCCGGGGACCCGGGGTCCCTGCGGACTCTGCGGTCCCCGACGGCCCCAGCTCCAGGGTGCTGGTCACCGGCCCCTGGCCCCCGGGCATCTTCAGAGCCGGGCCCTAGGCGCGTCCCGGGGCGGCTGCGCCCCGCCTGCTGTCGCTGGCACCTGTCCTTGCCCCGATGTCCTCCGCCAACCAGCCCCCACTCTGCCCAGCCACCGACGCCTGCACTCCCTGTCTGCCTCTTCGCCCTCTGCCAACGTCCCCACCCAGCTCCGCTTACGGAAGTCCCCCACCCTGGTGCCTCAGCTGACCCCAGCTGACCCGGCTTCTAAGCGCCCCCCTGACGCCCACCTCCGTCCGCTCGCTCCCCAGCACCCGGACAGCCCCCGCCCACTCAGCAACCCACGCCGGCCGTCCACTCCGGATCCCACTCGATGGCCCAGATATCGAGGCAGCCCTACCTGCCGCCCGCCCACCCTCCACACCCCTGTCCCCGCCGACTGCTCTGCCTGCGCAGGGACCGCCCGCCCCCGCCACCCTAGATGGCAGAGGAGCCTCCTGCCACCTCCCGGCTCCCGGAAGAGGAACGAGGGTTGCCTGAACCAGCCCGAGAGGGGGACTTGGGGGCGAGGGCGGGGCGCAGGGTCCGTGGGGCGGGGCTGTTCCCAGCGTCTGCGGCGGGGTCTCCGGGTCGCTGTGCTCCTGTCTCTGTCCTCGCGCGTCGGTCCGTCCGCCTGCTTGCCCGCTTGTCTAACTGTCGCCTGCCTATTGGTTTGTCTTTCGGTCTGCCTGTCTGTCTGCCTATCTGCCTGCCTGCCTGTCTGCCTGCCTTTCTGACTGTCTACCGCTGGTTTGTCTGTCAGCCTGCCTGTCTGCCTGCCTGTCCGTCTGTCTGTCCGTCTGCCTATCAATCTGCCTGCCTGTATGACTCTTCATCTCTGTATATTTCTCTGTGTTTTCTCTGTGTAGGTCACTATCTGCGGCTGTCTGGCTATCTGCCTGGAGCGGTGTCTGGGGGGAGAGGGGACACTGTCCCTGGATCTGGGAATGGGAGGAAGGGACTGTCTTTTTGTGCGTCTCAGTGTTTGTCTGTCTGTCTGAAGTGCCTGTGTCTGTCAGCTGGGAGGTGCCCAGATGCGCAGTAAGACTTGGTCCCTCTTCTTCCTCTGAGTGAGTGGGAAGCTGCTTCTGGACAAGGGTCGGGGTGCCCTGGGGTCCGCCCTGCACCGCGGGTGCGTAGCGCCTCTGCAGCCTGCCCTGGCAGGAGTGTGCCGGCCAGGTGCCCCACTCCGATCCCGCTTTGTGAAGGGAGGTGCGAGGACGCCCTGCAGAAGAGCCGCCTTGAGGTTGGGTGTGGCTGAGAGGAGCGGCTGGGTGTGCTGGGCGGAGCAGGGTGCTGGGAGAGAGCCAATGCAGGATCTGAGCCCCAGAGAAGGCAGAGCCGGCCTCCTGGGTGCCACCTGTGCACCCACACAGGGCCCTGCTCCAGAAGACACCCTTCACACCGTTGGTTTAATACATTGCTGTTGCCGTCTTGCAATTCTTAATAGTTTTTGAACAAGGGGTCCCACGTTTTCCTTTTGCCTTGGGCCCAGCAAATTCATAGCTAGTTCTGACCGGGAAGGGGTGGGGGGAGCCCTGGGGCCAGAAGAAGTCAATCCAGGAGCCTTCTTTGAATTCATTCATTCATTTGATCAGCACATACAGATCCAAGACGGAGTCATTTGCCAGGCTCAGTTCTAAGTGCTGGAGATTCAGTGATGAATAGCAAGCTAGTGTTCAGGTGGGACAAACTTTGTAGACACATATTTCATATTTCCCAGCTTATTGGAAATTGAGGAGCATCAAAGATGTGGCATAACCTGGGCCTGCAAAGAAATCACAGCCCAGCAGGGGAGATGGAGTAGGTGGGGCCCTGAGAGCAGGGCTGCCAGGACAGGGCTCTGTGGGGAGCCCTGAGCCCACCAGGAAGAGGGAGGGGTTCACAGAGGAGACAACATTTCTGCAGTCTTTATACCTGGGAGTAGGAGCTGGCCAGTTGGGATGGGGCAGAGGTAGGGGAGGATGTTCTACAGAGAGGATCCAGCATGTGCAAAGAAACGAAAGTGTAAAAACACAGGTTGTAATCAAGGAATAGAGCCCCTGAGTGATGCAAATGGTTAATGTGTCAGCTGCTAACCAAAAAGTTTGACCATTCGAATCCACCCAGAGATGCCTTGGAAGAAAGGCATGGTGACTACTTCTGAAAAACCAGCCATTGAAAACCCTGTGGAGCGCGGTTCTACTCTTACACACGTGGGGTTGTCATGAGTTAGAATGGACTCCATGGCAACTGGTTCCTCCATGTCAGACGCTGAGCCAAGGCTCAGTGGTAGAGGCGGCCAGCTGTCCATCAAACACATGTCCTCCCCCCACCCCACAGTGGAAAGCTATTACTGGGAAATGGCTGCCAGCAGAGATGCTAATTCCCAGTGCTCCTGCATTTAAGTGGAATGTGTGGCTGTGTTCTGCCAGTGGAGTGTGGACAGAAGGGATGTGTGCCACTCCTAAGCCCAACCCATGAAAATCTCCAACCAATCCTCCATGGTCTCTTTTTCCCCTTCTACAAGCCAGATGTGGACACTCACACCCAGGGCAACCGTGGGAGCCTCACGCTAAAGATGGCAGACGCTGTCAGCCTGAGTCCCCAGTGACTAATGAAGCAGACACCCTCTGCTGAACTTGGACTTAACATGAGTGAGACATAAATTTCTACTGTGCTGAGCCACTACAGTTTTGAAATGTATTTACTATGGCAACTTTTGTTATTGTTAGTTGCCCTTGAGTGGGCTCCAACTCATGACTACCTTCTGTATAACAGAAGGAAATGTTGCCCGGTCCTGTGCCATCTTCATGATCGTTGGTATGTTTGAGTCCATTGTTTTGGCTATTGTCAATCTATCTCATTGAGGGTTTCCCTGGTTTTCATTGACCCTCTACTTTACCCTGGTGGTGCAGTGATTAAGAGCTACAGCTGCTAACCAAAAGGTTAGCAGTTTGAATCCACCAGCTCCTCCTTGGAATCCCTCAGGGCAGTTCTACTCTGTCCTATAGGGTTGCTATGAGTCAGAATCCACTCGACAGCAACGGGTTTGGTTTTGGTTCTACTTTACCATCCATGATGTCCTTTTCTAGCAATTGGTCTTTCTTGATGATGTGTCCAAAGTAAAGACATCAAAGTCTCGCCATCCTCACTTCTAAGGAGCATTCTGGTTGTATTTCTTCTAAAACAGATTTATTCATTCTTCTGGCAGTCCACGGTGTACATGTATTCAATATTCTTCACCAATACCACAGTTCAATGCATAACTTAGCATTACTTGTTTAGAGTACAAAGATAAATAATACTTCCTGTCTGAAAATCATATGTGACACCTTTCTCTGGGCTACTTCGATTCATTTTCATAAGCAGTGAAATGGAAGTTTCTAGACACCAATAGAGAGAGACTGTCTCCTTTATTCTCTATTCAAGATAATGTTAAACCTCATTCAAAGATCTACCCACACTGTTTTCTCTCTTCTGCTGATGAGATTTTTCAAAAGTCTGAGTGACACAGGACCCCCACTGTCTTAGGACTGACCCATAGTTGGTGGTGGGCAGATATCGGTGTCTGCTTCAACTGGGGGTCCAGAATGCTAGGCTATGATGACATCCAGGCCCATTGCACTCACTTCATTTGGAGCAGGTCAATCCCACTTTCATCCCATGTAAGAATTGATCACATGGTTCATCTCAGTGTGAGGGACACTATTCTGTTGTGGTCCACCGGGTTTTCATTGGCTAATTTTCAGAATTAGATTGCCAGGCCTTTCTTCCTAGTCTACCGTAGTCTGGATTTCCACTGAAACCTGCCCACCATGGGTGACCCTGCTGGTATTTGAAATACTTGGTGGCATAACTTCCAGCATCACAGCAACACACAAGCCACCACAGTGCAACAAATTGACATATGAGTGGTGAGCATAACCATGGTACATTTATCAAAACTGAAAATTAACACTGACATAATATTGCTAACTGAACTACAGACTTTGCATTCAGATTTTTCTAGTTTTCCCACTGTGTCATTTTTCTACACAGATCTTTTGGAAAACACTAGACATGAGCTCTAGGTGGATACTAAATCCTGGGGATTGGTGGATTCTTTTGCTGGGATATTCATTCTTTAATCAGGAGCTCTGTTGTGCCAAATACCATGGCAATGATAAGACAGTTCATTGAGTGTACAGATGGTGACGCTAGAAGTATTGTGCGCAGGAAGGCAAAAACATTTAGAACATGTGTCTAATCCAGCGAGGGCAAATGTTTGCTCCCTCTGTGATGGGAAAAAAAAAAAAAAGTTGCCATCAAATTGATTCCAACTCATGGCAAACCTGTGTGTGCAGAACTGTGCTCCACAGAGTTTTCAATGGTTGATTTTTTGGAAGTAGATCACCAGATCTTTCTTCTGAGGTGCCTCCAGGTGGATTTGAACTGCTAACCCTTCAGTTAGTAGCCAAGTGCTTAACCATTTGTGACACCCAGGGACATGATGGAAGGGGTCTGATATAATCAACCAGCCACCAGGCACTTCTCCCCGGCCAAAGGTGCCATATCAGCAGCTCAGTGTTGGTCCCCACTGTTGGTAGCTGTCCTGGTTATTTATTGCTGCTGTTATATTAAACTACCCTAAACATAGTGGTATATAACAACATCCATTTTATTATGCTTATGGACCCTGTGGGTCGGGATTTGGAGAAGACACAGCAAGGATTGCTTTTCTCTGCTCTGCAATGTTTAGGGACTTAGCTGGGAAGACTTTAATGGCTTTAATGGTGACTCAAATGGCTGGGAATGGTATCATCTGAAGTTTTCTTCATTCACATTCTGGTACCTGGACTGCTTCTTGTTGTTATTAGGTGCCCTCGAGTTGGTTCCAACTCATAGCGACCCCACGTACAAAAGAATGAAACACTACCCAGTCCTGCACCATCCTCACAGTCATTGCTGTGTTTGAGCCCATTGTTGCAGTTGCTGTGTCAATCTATCTTGTACCCGGACTAGGATAAATCAAAGGTTGGGC